AAAGGTCACGGAGTGTATACCTGGTGAACCTAAAGAAGCTAAAGAAGAAGGTGAACCCAAGGAAAAACATATAGTTATCCTCTTGGCTAAGGGAAGTAGACAAAATTGCCGGGGAGAAAATTGAGATCTTGGGGGTGGGGTGGGTTGGGGATAAGGGGGGACGGGGAGAGAAAAGTGAGAAGGGGAGGATGGGGGGAACTTGGGGAAACAGGAAGACTGGGATAAAGGAAGGTTGGATAGGGGAGCAGGGAAGCACATATCTTAGTTAAGGGAGCCACCTTAGTGTTGGCAAGAGACTTGAATCTAGAGTGGCTCCCAGGAGCCCAAGGCGATGTCCCCAGTTAGTCCCTTGGGAAGCTGAGGATAGGGAACCTGAACTGACCCTATCCTATAGCAATACTGACGAATATCTTCCTTATCACCATAGAACCTTCATCTGGGGATGGATGGAGTTAGAGACAGAGACCCACACTGGAGCACTGGACTGAACTCCCAAGGTCCCAATGAGGAGCAGATGGAGGGAGAACACGAGCAAGGATGTCAGAACACGAGGGGTGCACCCACCCACTGAGACAGTGGGGCTGATCTATTGAAAGCTCACCAAGGCCAGCTGGACTGTGCCTAAAAAAGCCTGGGATAAAACCGGACTCTCTGATCATGGCGAACAATGAGGGCTGATGAGAAGCCAAGGACAATGGCACGGGGTTTTGATCCTACTTCATTTTCCGGCTTGGTGGGAGCCTAGCCAGTTTGGATGTTCACCTTCCTAGACATGGAGGGAGGGGGGAGGACTTTGGACTTTCCACAGGGCAGGGAACCATGACTGCTCTTTGGATTGGAGAGGGAGGGGGAGAAGAGTGGGGGGAGGGGGAGAAGAGTGGGGGGAGGGGTGAAAGGTGGGAAGAGGGGGAGGGAAATGGGAGGCTGGGAGGAGGCAGAAACTTTTTTTTTTTCCTTTTCTCAATAAAAAAAAAGAAAGAAAGGGCACACAGTGTACATCCACAGCATGGGTATGGGTTAATCAAGAGAAAAAGGTCACACCTTATACGACTTAGCAAGAGCTTTCGACACAACTTTGTGGCTTTTGAAGTTACACCACTTAACGGATATAATTTACTGTCATGGTATTTCATTTGTATTTTAATAAATAAAGTTTGCCTGAAGGTCAGAGAGTAAAACAGCCACACTGATCAGCCTCACAGACCAGGCAGTGGTAACACACCTTTAATCCTAGTAGCCACACTAGTTTGCCATAGAAACCAGGCAGTGCATGCCTTTAATTCCAGCACTAGAGAAGAATATAAGACAGGAGGAGACAGCTCTCAGACTCAGTCATATTCCGAGGATTCCTGGAGTTAGGATCGCCATTTCAGACTGAGGAAGGAAAGAACTGGTGGCTGGCTGTTTTATTTTTCTGACCTTCAGGTGGAAACCCAGTATCTGTCTCTGGGTTTTTATTAGTCATGCTACAATTTACAATCAGGGTAAAAGAAAAACTTATTAATAAAAAATAAAGGTACAAGAATAACTTAAAAATAAGCATAGAATATACATACTAGTTTACTAATTTCTCTTCCCCTAAATAATTTTTTCTTCTAAATATGACTGTCAGGTGGTTTTAGGAAGTATATCATTCAGGGATGCAAGAAGAATGGATCAAAGTTCATACATATTCTGTCCCTAAGTAAGCATAGTTTGTTTCTGGTTTCTTTTTTTAACTCATTGACATACATGTGTACAGTGTGTTTTTGTCATATTATATCCCCATTACTCTTTTACCCCCTTCTCCCTCCACTGAATCCCTCTCCTCCTCAACCAGCCCCTTCCTGCTTTCATGTCCTTAGTTTGTTTTAGTTTAGTTTTTGAATGCATGTGTGTGTGTGTGTGCACGCATGTGTGCATGCATGCTTGAGTAGGGGTGGGTAGACACTGAATTTAATAAGAGTTGTTTGGAAGACATGGGTGGGAGATTATTTACTGGAATATAGGCATTTTACCAGTGGCGGCACCATTGGAGAATTGTTTGTTCTATTTGTTTGTTTAGTGTGTGTGTGTGTGTGTGTGCACATGAGTGTGTGTAAAAGACATGGGGGAGGCAATGAAGAACACCTCTATGAAGTCAGTCTCTTCTCTTCTCTTTACATGGGTCCCAGGGATGAAACTCTGGACATCAGGCTTGCACAACAAACATTTACCAACTGACCTATCTTGCCAGGCCCGTTTGCCCTCTTTATCATCCTTAATTGTCTTTAGAAAAATAAACATTGTCCTTAGGTAGGAAATCTTTATTTATCTTATCAATTGTGTTGAAAGTTTTTTAAAAAGTACTGAGCATTCAACCAAAGACCTTACACATGCTGGCTAAAATCCCACACCAAGCTACGCTCGAGACAGGTTCTGAAACTGCTTTCCTTGGTTTCCAGCCAGTTTGGGAGGTAACCAGATAAAGTTACCAGATAAAGGAAGAAACTTCTTGACCTTTTCATGTCCCCTAAATTTTTCTCTTTTCGTAACCTTCTTCCTTGAGGAGGGCTAATAGAGCTCAGAGTCACCAATACCCTAGGATTACAGGGTTGAATCTTTTTCAATTGATCAGGTTTCTAGAGCGTCTGTTGGAAGCCATGGAGCATATGTGTCTGAGCCTGAAAACTGGCGGGTAGGAAGGTCAGAGAGCCAAAGAAGAGCAAGAATTAAGGATGCCCTGTGAGGACAGAAGACCGCAGCAAGTACTAGAGAGGACGTATAACAGCGAGACTGGAAGGTGTCATCTGGAGCCTGTCACGGAATAGACAGCAAGTTTCGGTTGGAAGGAAGGTGGGTAGGAAGGACAGAGGGCAAAGAAGCTGTCTTGAGGCACCTGCAAGAAAAAGATAAAATCTCAGATTTGAGACTCAGGGGTGAGATCCCACTAAATAGTGATCAAAGCTGGTACCTTATGAAGCTTTGGAGGTTTATGGGTTGATCAAAGTGAGCTAAAGACAACAGATGACACTTAAAACACTGAGGTATCTCAGTTTCTCCAGAGCTAAGGGGCAATTCTGCTAAACATGGCATACCGAAGGACACCACCCTTCTGCTTACAACTCAGTGCAAACCGAGTTTTAAGACTGTGTCTGCTCACTGCAGATGTGGGGCCTCCCACTTTAGGCGCTGTCTCTCACACTAACTTACCGGGTTGAGTAACTTATGAAGAATAGAGGCTTCTTTAGCTCGTTTGTTTGGAAAGGTTTCTCTCAGCATCATAAAAAGGCAGAATGTGGCAAAGCAGAACAATCATAGGTCACCGCGGGTTTCTCTGGAGTCGGCCTGATCGATCTACTAATGCCAATGGTCTCACTAAGTCCTTACTTTGAAAATGATCGATGTGTGAGTTTAGAAGTCCAATCTCACTGGAACCGGAGGGAAGGTCCTTGACTTTGTGCTCTGTGATGAAGGACAATGGAAAGACAGCTGGTTCATTATTTCAATCTTTATCTTTATGGGGACACGAGAAAATTCAGCTTTTTTTTTAATAAGTCGCCATTAATCAGGATGTTGAAGTTAATCCCAGCATTTAAGACAATTGTTTTACCACCCCGTGAATTGTGAATGGTCATGGAACCTCCACTGGCTCAGTTTCCCACATTCCTCCCTGTGAGTTTTAACACACCCCACCTTTACTCCTGATATCCCCCACATCTCTCCAGTTGCCCAAGACTCTGACAATGATTTTCCTGATCCATCTGGCAAAATGCCTAGCCTTCGACTTTCTGTCCTGCCAACACAGAGGACACATTCTGCTCGATTTGTTTCTGGGTCAGAGTTCTTCCCCAAAGATATGAAGAGTGGTGTCCAATGATGAGATCATTTGGTCCAATGCCCTCTGTGTCCCAAATGTAGGGCATTTGGATCAAGGTGCTACAGTCAACGCAGGATTTCTCATACCTGCCCTGGCCTTCTCAGACACTGTCACTCAAGACAGAGGCTGGATACAATCTAGGAAGACACTGAGCATATCGGCTCAGTCCATATATGGGCCCTGGCCCCAGTAGTTGTGTTTTCAATGAGTAACTAACACTTCTTCCTATCAAAGAATCATGGTGGGGAGAGATGGATCATTGGTTAAAAGTACACACTGTTCTTAAAGGACACCCGAGTTTGGAGCCCAGCGCTCATGTTGAGCTGCTCACAAGCACCTGTATTTCTAGCTCTGGCTGGATTCAACATTCCTGACCTTTGAAGGTGCCTGCACACCTGTGTACAGCCCCACTCCTAGCTAAACATAATTAAAAGTAAGAACAAATCTTTTAAAAAGTCACAGAGGACTCAACTTCCCAGGGAACAGTTGTGATCATAATGTAATGTAAAGGCAATGGATGATTTCCATGTCCACTTTGGCTTTGGGATAAGGATTTCCTTAGCCCATGTGTAGTTCTTTCTGCAGACAGACAGCACTGTGCAGGACAGAAGGATGCTGGGTCGGCTTCTAGCATCACTCCATCATTTAAAAGGCCAAATCACGTAAGCCTCAGAGCTTCCTTCCAGGTATAGTGTTAGGCCAAAGGGTGTCAGGCCACAAAAGCTATGAGATGTGCATTATAAAATGTGGTTAGTGACCTTCTAAGTTGGGAAATGGCATAGCATTCTTTTGTTCCCCTTCCTTGTCTTGGTTAGGGTTTCTATGTGAAGAGACACCGTGGCCACTTTTATATATTTCATTGTGGTGGCTCATTGGCTCATTTATAGTTCAGAAGTTCAGTCCATTATCCTCGTGGCAAGAAGCATGGCAGCATACAGACAGATACGGTGCTGGAGAGGCAGCTGAGAGGTCTACATTTGGATCACCAGGCAGCAGGAAAAGAGAGATGCTGGGCCTGGCTTGAGCTTTTGAAACCTAAAAGTCCTCCAACAAGGCCACATTACTCCAGTAATGTCATACCCAGTTCAACATGGCCACCCATCCCAATAGTGTCACTCCTTATGATCCTATGGGGTACATTTTCACTCAAAACACAACATTCCACTCCCTGGACCTCATGGGCTTGTAGCCATATAATAATAATGGGAAAAGTGTTCAGTCAAAAGTCCCATAGTCTATCAGTTTCAACTCTGTTTAAAAGTCAAAAGTTCAAAGTCTCTTTTGTGATTCATGGCAGACTCTTAACTGTCATCCAAAACAAAAACAAACAAATCAATCCAGTCACATAACCTTTGACCTACAGTCTGTCCTAACTATAGGATATGTTTGGATTGGCGCCTAACCCAATTGTCATCAGAAATGTTTCATCCAGCCATGGATGGAAATAGATTCAGAGCCACAACTAAACATCAGGCAGAGCTTGGGGGATCCTGCAGAAGATGGGGGAAAGGGGTTGTAGGAGCCAGAGGGGTCAAGGACACAACAAGAAAATTCACAGAATTAACTAACCAGGGCTCATAGGTGCTCACAGGGACTGAACTGACAACCAGGGAATCTGCGTGGGACTGACCTAAGTAGGCACTCTGCATACATGTTAACAGTTGTGTAGCTTGGTCCTCTTTGGGACTCCTAAAAGTGGGAACAGAAGCTGTCTTTGACTCTTTTACTGGCTTTTGGGACCTTGCTCCTCATACTGGGTCTCCTTGCTCAGCCTTCATAATGGAGATGTGCTTAGTTTTACTGCAACTTGATATGCTTGCTATGTTTTGTTGATATTCATGGGAGACTTTCCTTTTTCTAATCAGAAAGTGAGGAGTGGATTGGGGATTGGGAACAGAGGCAGATGGGAGAGGGGGACTGGGAGGGGAGGGGGTGGGACTGACCAGGCTGTAAAATAAATAAATAAATTACCAAAAACAGACATGATCAAACCTGAGTTTTGTGTAAAACAGGAATGGACTTACTTTGACCTTGTAACAAGATGGCTTTTAATCTTAAGATGGAGACAGGTTGGTCCATCATTCTCCCCTTGTCTTGTGGCTCTTTCAAATCCTTGATAGAGAACAGTCATTTCTATCTGTTTTATGGCTGATAATTCTAGCAAGGGGCAAATATTTTTTGCACTTTTTATTTGGCGAGGGACAAAATTTGTATCATAGTACCAACTTCTGTCTTAGTTAGGATTTCTATTGCTGTGAAGAGACACCATGGCCACAGCAACTCCTATAAAGGAAAGCATTTCATTGGGGATGGCTCACACTTCAGGGGTTTAGTCCATTGCCATCATGGCAGGAGCATGGCAGCGTGCAGGCAGACATGGTGCTGGAGAAGTAGCTGAGTGTTCTACATTTGGACCAGCAGGCAGTAGGAAGAGAGAGTGACGCTGGGCCTGGCTTGAGCTTCTGAAACCTCAAAGCCTACCTCCAGAGACTCAATTCCTTCAATAATGCCACACCTCCCAATAGTGTCCCTCCTTATGGGTCTATGGAAACTGTTTTCACTCAAACCACAACATTCATGAGAGTAGGAGTCTTTCCTCTGTGTCTCTTCATGGCATTTCAATGAAACAAATCAGAAAATATGAGAAGCTCTTTGCTCAAAATTACAGCTAAGACAAGGGACACAATGCTCTTTGTAGTATCCCAAGGATTGTGAATGCCACAGCTCAAAGTTCACCTCCTTTCTCTATTTTGTGCTCTCCTTTTCTCCTAGCTTTGTTTTTCCCATGTTTCTACTGTGTACCTGCTTTCTCTCCTAGGAGGTACAGCTAACAGTTCTCATCCGCATCATCTTTAAGAATATTTTATTACATTTAAATTTAGTCGGAGGAGGGATGGAGCTTGGAGGAGTTGGGTTTTCTATCATCGTGGTGTCCTGGACATCACAGCCAGGTTGTCAGGCTCAGCGGCAGAAGCCTTTACCCACTGAGCAGTATCACTAGCTCTCACCCTCATCATCTTTTACATTCCTGGTAGTTCATTTTGGAAGACCAAACCTATACTCAGCTGCTTCTTTATGGTTTGGTTAGGATATACTCTGATTTTTGCAAAAGTGTGGGCTCCTAAGGTAATTATTCTTTAGTTTATTCTGGAATATATGTGCTAAAACAAGGTAGCTGCCACCTTCATCACAACCTACATATAGTTAGACTTCTCTCACCATCAATAGTACCCTACTATAAAACCAAGGTTAGTAGGGTCTTAGTCTTCTCTTCTACTGCCTTTCCTTTTGGAGTTCCTTGGTTTCTTTTCTTGCTCATCAGAAAAACTCCAAAGATGGTGAAATTCATATAGAACAGAGTCTTCTCCTATGATATTATTTGGCTTTCATAAAAATGTCCTTGTCGATGAATAACCGTGCCCTAAGTGAGCCTTGGATATTATACTCCTTCCTTATTGCTCAGAGAACCCTGAGGAAGAGGAGACAAAGGATTTAAGAGCTGGAAGTTAGAGGATTGATGCAAAACACTGTCTTCTGGACAAATCCAGACCATTGTGCTAGGGAAGTCACGGTGGCTGTGGTTGCCTACACAAGACCTACACAATATCAAGCCAGTCAACATTGCCAGCACAGAAGGGAGAGAGAATTGTAGTTTTTGTGGGCTTGTTGCTGCTGCCTGTTGTGTGGTCCCAGTTTCCTGGGTGGGGGTAAGAGACTTGGAGGCAGTGGCATAGACCAGGAGATTCCAGTACAGAAGCTCTTTATTGTAAACAGGTTGGAGATTTTATGGGGTTAGGGAAATTAAGCTGCCACAGGAACAATACTGATTGGTCCTTTTGAAACTAGCGGTCATTGCTGGCATGTTGTGATTGGCTAGGAGCGTGCGTCATTAGTTACCATGCTTTTGATCAGCTGCCGGAGCTTGCTTGTGCTTGCGCTCTTGCCCTGCCTCTGGGAATTATAGAGTTCCATGACTAGCTGAGAAGTTTTTGCAAACTTGGGGCTTCTGGGATAGGGACAGTCAGTTTCTTAAAGGAAGTGGCTCCTGTTAGGGCACCCGTGCTCCCGCTGATGGCCCCACAACTATGAACAGAAGAGCAATAGTGATGGGACTTAGAGGGTATGAAGTTGGGAGGGGGACGTAGGAAGAACAGAGAGGGGAAGAGGGTGGTGAGAAGATCAGAATGTGTTGTTCCTGTGCGGGAACTTATCAGAGGATGTATTTTAAAAGTCTTTCACCGTGGGAGGACAGACCTTCCCCCTAATCTCCACCATGAGTGTCACATGTTTCCTGCTGACTTCTCTTCTAACCAGAGGTAAACACAGAACAATTTCTCTGAAAGTTTCCAGCAGCAATTGTGCCTGCTTTCCTCTCAAAGCGAGGAGCACTGGGTGGTAACTTCAAGGCAATCTGTGAGTTCTGGATAGAAATTCAGGTTTTGTATGCGCGTCTTGCAAGTCAGAATCTGATTCTGTGTGACACCATGCGTGGGAAGAGCCAAGATCACAGATGGATACTATTCTAAAGACAGACAAA